AATTGTCCGGGGGGTAATTGTCCGGGGGTAATTGTCCGGGGGGTGATTGTCCGGGGGGTATTTGTCCTGACACCGCGTACACACACTCACATACACGCGCGCGCACACACACGCGCATACACACGCGCATACACACGCTCACACGAGTGCATATAGACGCACACACACGCGCGCACACACTCTAAATACACTGTCAAAATATAGATATATATATATAATAAATTTAACTAGTACAATGATTAAATTTAACTAGCATTAGAGTTAAATATGGTCTAAAACAGCAGTTAGCTTTGTATTACACTTTATTTCAGAGACCCTAAAGCACTCTGGAGGCAGATATACTGATGCACAAATACAGCGGTGCGGTCGGATCGTTGGCCCTCTAGACAAGGCGCTAAACGAACGATTTTCAGAAACGGTGGGGGAAGTAATGAACCGGGTGACATTTCGCAAGCACAAGAAAGATTGGCGGGTAAATTTCATTGCAATATGTAATTGGTATTACAAATGTGTGTGAAATGCGTTGATTTCATTTTCGAAGTGCCTTTCATTGGGCCATTGGTTTGCATGAACTCATTTCGAAATCTTATTAACTAATAAAACATGGCAAATTACATAACGTTCTTCGATAAACATTTCAGGCTGATGTTGCCAAGTTCATAGACTTTTACAAGTCTGACCAGCTGTTTGCGGACAAGCCAGGACGAAGGCACCGCACATTTCCAGGGTTTCAGCACAGGTTAGAACAGGCTTTCGTTTCTGGTACAAAATACCAAAATTTCAAATACCAAATACCAAAATATCTGCTCAATTATGAGGTACAACTATATACTTAAAACATTATACTTTTTTTCAATGGCAGCCTCAAGATAAAAAAATCTTGAGCTTCTGAAGGCACGTCTCTCAAGCTACTGCGATAAGCTGGATAGGCAGAAAGCTGTAATGATTCACGATTAAGTTGCAGTAGCTTCAAGCCTGCAAGGACAAGATGAGCGGCAAAGTGAGCAGCAGCAGCAAGCTTCACACACGCAAGCACTGCAGTGGTTTCCACAGACACTGGACCGCACTGCAACACGTGGCATTTTTTGCATGTGGATGGCCACCAAAATTGCTCGCCTAGCACAACATTTCTCACTAGAAATTCTTGCACAGACTTTTAGCATTTCAGGGTTCACAAGTCTCTTGTCCAGTGAACGTGGACCCAGTAGTAATGTGGCCGAAGATGGCAGCCCATCTCGACCAGCTCGTCCAACCTCTTGCCAATAGTGCAGGGGCGATTTGCTTGGGCCAAAGTTAATAATATGTCTCACATCCGTTACTTGAATGCCCATGCCGAAGGCAATGGTGCAGACAACGCAGCGTTCGATGGAGTCCGTTTTGACGAAAGTGTTTAAGACATATTGTTCCTGAAGTTTTCCTATGCTGCCATGGTACATGGTGATTCCCAGGTTTTCTGTTGTGTGTGTCTTGCCTTGCCAGGCGTCTTCTCCTATGCGACTTAGCAGGTCCTCGTATACAGCTGCCACTTGGTTGATTGATCTGCAACGCAATTGCGACAGTTACATTGACGTTACCATTTGTTCAAACTTCGTGTGCATGTGGTATAAATCGTATGGTACCTGCAGTAAATGATGGTTTTTTCGGCATTCGGACCCGCTGTCCTCATGTGGTCCACCAACCATTGCACCTCCTGTTGGTAGCTGCGTACTCCAGTTTTCCATTGAATGTAGATGTTTTTTTCTATAAGATAACAAAGTTAGAAAAGAAAATCACTAAGAAAAACCAAT